TCTACCGGTGGAGAAGCAGATGGCCGTGGAGTGAGTGAGGAGTGAGTGAGGAGTGAGTGAGTAAGTGAGGAGTGAGTGAGGAGTTAGTGAGTGAAGAGTGAGTGAAGAGTGAGTGAGTGAGGAATGAGTGAGGAGTGAGTGAGTGAAGCGTGAGTGAAGAATGATTGAGGAGTGAGTGAATAGTGAGTGAAGAGTGAGTGAGTGAGGGGTGAGTGAGTGAGTGAGGAGTGAGTGAGGAGTGAGTGAGGAGTGAGTGAATGAGGAGTGGGTGAGGAGTGAGTTAGTGAGGAGTGAGTGAGAGAGTGAGTGAAGAGTGAGGAGTGAGTGAGTGAGTGAGGAGTGAGTGAGTGAATGAGGAGTGAGTGAGGAGTGAGTGAAGATTGAGTGAGTGAGGAGTGAGTGAGTGAAGAGTGCGTGAGTGAGTAAAGAGTGATTGATGAGTGAGTGAGGAGTGAGTGAGTGAGTGAAGAGTGAGTGAGGAGTGAGTGAGTGAAGAGTGAGTGAATGAATGAGGAGTGAGTGAGTGGAGAGTGAGTGAGTGAGGAGTGAATGAGTGAGTGAGGAGTGAGGAGTTAGTGACTGAACAGTGAGTGAGGAGTGAGTGAGGAGTGGGTGAGGAGTGCGTTAGTGAGGAGTGAGTGAGTATTGAGTGAGTGAGGAGTGAGTGAGGAGTGAGTGAAGAGTGAGTGAGGAGTGAGTGAGGAGTGGGTGAGGAGTGAGTTATTGAGGAGTGAGTAAGGAGTGAGTGAGGAGTGAGGAGTGACTGAGTGAGTGAGTGAGGAGTGAATGAGTGAGTGAGTGAGGACTGAGTGAAGAGTGAGTGAGGAGTGAAGAGTGAGTGAGGAGTGAGTGAGTGCGTGACTGGGTAAAAAGTGAGTGAGGAGTGGGTGAAAAGTGAGTGAGGAGTGAGTGAGGAGTGAGTGAGGGTGAGTGAGTGAGAAGTGAGTGAGTGAATAGTGAGTGAAGAGTGAGTGAAGAATGATTGAGGAGTGAGTGAGTGAATAGTGAGTGAGGGGTGAGTGAGGGGTGAGTGAGTGAGTGATTGAGTGAAGAGTAAGTGAGGAGTGAGTGAGTGAGTGAATAGTGAGTGAAGAATGAGTGAGTGAGGGGTGAGTGAGTGAGTGAGTGAAGAGTGAGTGAGTGAATGAGGAGTCGGTGAGGAGTGAGTTAGTGAGGAGTGAGTAAGGAGTGAGTGAGGAGTGACTGAGTGAGTGAGTGAGGAGTGAATGAGTGAGTGAGGACTGAGTGAAGAGTGAGTGAGGAGTGAAGAGTGAGTGAGGAGTGAGTGAGTGCGTGACTGGGTAAAAAGTGAGTGAGTGAGGAGTGAGTGAGGAGTGGGTGAGTGAGTGAGTGAGGAGTGAGTGAGTGAGTGAGTGAGGAGTGAGTGAGTGAGTGAGGAGTGGGTGAGGAGTTAGTGAGTGAAGAGTGAGTGAGGAATGAGTGAGTGAAGAGTAAGTGAGTGAATGAGGAGTGAGTGAGGAGTTAGTGAGTGAAGAGTGAGTGAGTGAGTGGGGAGTGAGTGAAGAGTGAGTGAGGAGTGAGTGAGGAGTGGGTAAGGAGTGAGTTATTGAGGAGTGAGTGAGGAGTGAGTGAGTGAGGAGTGAAGAATGAGTGAGGAGTGAGTGAGTGCGTGACTGAGTGAAGAGTGAGTGAAGAGTGAGTGAGGAGTGAGTGAAGAGTGAGGAGTGAGTGAGGAGTGAGTGAGGAGTTAGTGAGGGAAGAGTGAGTGAAGAATGATTGAGGAGTGAGTGAATAGTGAGTGAAGAGTGAGTGAGGGGTGAGTGAGTGAGTGAGTGAAGATTGAGTGAGGAGTGAGTGAAGAGTGAGTGAGGAGTGAGTGAAGAGTGAGTGAGTAATGAGTGAGTGAGTGAATGAGAAGTGAGGAGTGAATGAGTGAATGAAGAGTGAGTGAGTGAGGAGTGAGGAGTTAGTGAGTGAAGAGTGAGTGAGGAGTGAGTGAATGAGGAGTGAGTGATGAGTGAGTGAGTTAAGAGTGCGTGAGTGAGTGAGGGGTGAGTCTGGCACTAGGCGGTGTCAAGATCGGCCTCAATGGAGGATGCTCGTGTCGGATTATACTGGGCAGTTGGAGGCAGTTGCTCTCCAAACACGACAGAGGGCAGAGGAGCGATGCTTACAACAACAACTTGAATTCAACAAGTTGGCACTGTAGAGCGCAAATGGAAACCGTCTGCCAGTCATCTCAGTCGGTCAACCCATGGCACCTGAGTCTGTCCCGTGATCTCCTGTCAATTTAGACTTCGACCCTCACTTAGTGGTGGATGGCGGTTGTCGTTGAAGTTATCTGAACTGGTTATGGGCCTCCCCTCGTTCCACTCAGCCTCAAATACGTACCTGGTGCGATGCATTAAACATCGAGACACCCACCCCATCGTGTGCCGTGTCTGGCCTTCATAGGTGCTCGCTAACAGCACTTGCTCCTACAGTCTGTCAATGCTATACGGGAGATCGTTGTTATTGTTTGTGTCTATGTGCAGTGTCTGTATGGGCGGTTGGGAGTCATAGTGTCTGTGGGGAGCGACCCGAGTTCGACTTCCATTCACGACCATCAGTGACTAACAAATCTTAACGGTGGTAGGCCTCCTCTCGGTCTACTCAACTTAAATCTTGACTTTAAGATGTAATGACTGCAGGAATTCATATTTATTGGGTCTTTCGGTAAAGCCACGTAGATAGAAAAAAATGGCGACATTTCGATCGCAACACAAGTGTAATGCCGGTACATCCCGTCATTCGGGTAATCAGGGGAGCGAGCCTAGCAGAACTCCTTTATATCCCGTCATTCGGGTAATTAAGGGAGCGAGCCTGCTGCGGCGTTGGACCAGAAGGAAGGCGTAACCAGAGGGCAGGGGGAAGGCCCCGCTAGGGGGATAAAAGAGGAGCATGCTACAGTTAAGGGGTCGTCATTTTAGGTAACACTCGGTGGGTTGGGTCACGTGGTCGGGTTGGAATCTTCAATGGCCTCGTGTGTCAGGGGATTACATAATGTTACACAGTGTTACATAGGGGTAATTACGTTACACCAATTATAGAACCCGTCCCGTAAGAGAAGTGTTAAATAAAGACTCGTCTCAACTTATGTAGTGTAGATGTCTTTATTGAAGCACTGCACAACCAATCGTCATCAGGTGAAATAAGTATAACCCGTAAAAACAAAGTTTTTCACTATAAATCCTTTATATGCGTGGCGGCTAGAGTCTTCTCGTCCTCTGGCTTGAGATGGCTGCCACCTATGGGTCAGATGATTGTCTGCCAGTATTAAGCAATTGGTAATTAAATATTTAATTTGTTTTCCCTAAAAAGTGTAAAATTTTGGAAAAAAAATTTTCACGAACATTAATTGTCTCGCACAACGAGTCTGTGTGCAAAATGTCAGCTCGTATGGATCACGGGAAGTGGGTTAAAAAACGACCGAAAGATTTGCACGGTCGCAAGCAAGCAAGCGAACTTAATATAAAGGATTTAAAAATATAGCGGGAGAGCTGCTGAGGCAGGAAAAAATATAGCTATACGGGGGATATTTGTCTATGTACCAGGTGTGTGTGCATGTCCACTGCGGTTAGCGAGCACCTATGGAAGCCGGCAAAGAACACGAGTGGGTGGGTGGCCAGCACCATGCCCGACCGCATTTGTCTACCGAATTAGCGTGTTTACACACCGCACCTCGTACTCATTTCAGGCTGCGTCGACCTATAAGAGGAGGCCCACGACCGGTTCAGCTAATTATCGTCACTGGTGTTGGCGGTGAGCGAGAATCGAACCCGGGCCATCGGGTTCGATTCTCGCTGTGGTCCTTCATGTGTGGTGTTGCATTTTATGTTTTAATTACTTTATTATAAAATTATACATTATATTATTTTGGTCTTTCGGTAAAGTCACTTAGATAGATTAAAATAAAATAACAAAAAACTACGTTTCTGATGACGACCGCTTGTGTTGTGATCGAAACGTCGTAGTTTTTTTCTTTGAACCTATCTACGCGACTTTACCGAAAGACCCAAAGAATATGAATTCCTGCAGTCACGAAAGCTTAAAGTCAATTATACTTTAAATTTCGCACGTTTAAAAAGTTGTTCAAGAATGGAAAATGTTGGGGCCGAAACCTAGCTCATCTATTAATATGGGACGGAATCAATGGGGAAAACGATGATCGTTTAACGAGTTTTCGCTTTTCGAGCAATTTTAAGCGGAAGCAATCTTGCTCGTTAAGCGAAAGACGGTCTGTACAAAGTTTGGGCGTCACTACAGGAGCCGTGCAGTGTTGCGACCCGTCCCCGTAGACCCCACTCGCAATTTTGGAGCTTTCGCCACCTCTGTGAATCTGCCCACTTTGTGGCTCTGCCCAATGTGTGAATCTGCCCCCTCCCTGGCCCTGCCCCCTCCCTGGCCCTGCCCCCTCCCTGGCCCTGCCCCCTCTCTGGCCCTGCCCCCTATCTGGCCCTGCCCCCTCCCTGGCCCTGCCCCCTCTCTGGCCCTGCCCCCTATCTGGCCCTGCCCCCTCCCTGGCCCTGCCCCCTCCCTGGCCCTGCCCCCTCTCTGGCCCTGCCCCCTCTCTGGCCCTGCCCCCTCTCTGGCCCTGCCCCCTATCTGGCCCTGCCCCCTCCCTGGCCCTGCCCCCTCCCTGGCCCTGCCCCCTATCTGGCCCTGCCCCCTCCCTGGCCCTGCCCCCTCCCTGGCCCTGCCCCCTCCCTGGCCCTGCCCCCTCTCTGGCCCTGCCCCCTCTCTGGCCCTGCCCCCTCTCTGGCCCTGCCCCCTCCCTGGCCCTGCCCCCTCTCTGGCCCTGCCCCCTCTCTGGCCCTGCCCCCTCTCTGGCCCTGCCCCCTCTCTGGCCCTGCCCCCTCCCTGGCCCTGCCCCCTCCCTGGCCCTGCCCCCTCTCTGGCCCTGCCCCCTCTCTGGCCCTGCCCCCTCTCTGGCCCTGCCCCCTCCCTGGCCCTGCCCCCTCCCTGGCCCTGCCCCCTCCCTGGCCCTGCCCCCTCTCTGACGTAACCCCCATCGCGACCAAAATACAGGCGGCCGTGGAGGGGAGGACCGCAACAACCGCAGATTTCGCTCGCCCAGCGGGTTGGCTGTGTTCGAGGTGAGATGGGGCCTTGCTGCTGTTGCTGAGTCTCTGTGTCGTTTCAACAGCCCCTCGGCGCTTGTGTGTGAAATGACTACCAAGTTTTGCTTGGCGAGTAATAAATACATCATCACAGGGGAGAGAGAGAGAGAGACGCGGCGGCTGGGCTAGACGCGGTTGCTACTGGCCACCACCGCCAATTCATTCGCTCGGACCTCAATAGGTGCTCGCTAACAATGTCACGTTGTCACCAAGGAGTCTGATGAAGGCTGTAAGCTACGAGGGGTGGCTATTGTCGGCTTGTGTGGCTCTTCTGCAGCATGAGCTGCTACCAAATCCGATAACTCCGCTCTCCTAACTTAAGAAGGGTTCGTGGTGCAACATTACGGTTCTGTTATATAAACATCTGGATTCATGATTTTTTTTTTTAAGCAAGGAAACAAAGCTTTGTTCCGGAGTCTCATCGGCAGGGTCAGTCTTGAGACGTTATAGGGGTGGTGAGTTTTAGCTTTGGGAGTTTTTATTCCCATTGCTGAACTGTGGCCGATTATGTAAGGTGCGGATGTCTAATGTGATTGTATTACACTGGTCAACAAAAAATAAACATTTTTTTCTGGCCTGGACTTTTGCAGCTGTTCTAGACTAATTTCAGGGTGATGATTCCAAATCTGATCTCAGATTTGTTCTATCACATCTCATTTTTATGCTATCGGCATACCCCATTTTCATTGATTTTACCCGAAATTAACTCTGTCACTTATGATTGCAAGTTGTTGCGAGTCAGTGGCTACTTTAGTGTTAAAATATGGTGCTGTATTTTTAGGATAGTGTGTTTATAATTTCATTTTATGTAGATATCCACATTTATTTCATATTTTTCTTCTGCAGTTTTTATTGAAATATTTGATATCTCAAAAACCTGATGTGATAGATGCCAGATTTGGAATCAGCACCCCAAAATTACCTTAAAACCGTTGGAATACCTTATGCCAGAAAAAGTGTGTTGACCAGTGTTATGTATACAGCTGCTATTGCTACACGTGCTTTAATCACCATCGGTCATGATCAGTCCACTGCTTGATGAGGGAGTAATGGTGCTGTGATTAAATTTAACATGCCTTAATTTAAACTCGACAGCGAATAGCGGGCATTGGATTTCCATGTGCTCAATTTTGTGATGAATAGATTACGTTGATGTTAAGCTTCACCCTGCGAATGCTTCACGTGCGTTAATATTGCATACACTACATTTTATGCACTATGTAATAACATGCAAAATATGTAAGGTATTTATTGGAAATTGATTGATTATTGTTTTACACCGCTGTGGCATAACCGTGGATTCTGTAATATGCAGTAAGCACTCAAATAATTTTCTATATGCTGTACAACACTGAACATGCTATCTTTGGTGATGACACAGTTATCAGCGATAGACAAACACATTGGTCTATAACGCTTGTTGTGACCTTAAAATAAACAGATGTATGTGAAGAAGGGTCATTTCCCGAAACGTACATAATTGATGCAATTTTGCATGCTATAAAGTAATGTACATTGCAAATATACTATGTGCATTATGCTAAAGTGTGTAAACTATCATGTAATTTACTATAGTGCATGTACAGTACAGTATTTAGTTGTGGTAGTCGGTACTGTATTAAACGCCGTATAAACTACGAATAATTAAGTATGTGTGCTGTATGAAAATACTGTACTGAGAGTATACATATACAAAATTCGAGTGAAGTACTGTAATTATGTACAATGTACTGTATTTAGTGTGTACATTATAGAAATTGTAAGTACTGTACTGCCAATGAAGATTGGAATTATTCTGTGTAAATATACTATTGTATATGGATTGTCGAAATGTATGGCACTTTGTGTACAAAATGATAATCAAGTGAGGGTTTGCTTCATCACCAACGTCGCATATGCACCCTGACCAATTAACCGTCCACACCCAGTACAGAATTTGTGTAACGTAGATATATTCACAACATCCGACCTTCCTGCACAGTAATGGATAATTATCAATCTCGCTTACATTCACGTTCAGAGTACGTTTGCACGATATTTTGTTCAGTGTGATTAAAGGTTTAACTGTCATTTACTATAGACGTTCACAAAACTGACCTTTTCACATCATGCCTTTACCTTCCAGAGAATCGCTTACGTGACGTGCTCTGTTGACAAATTAGACTGTAATGCTATATAAATCGGGGAGCAGGTTGAATCAAATGAGTATGAATCATACAAACAATAGGAACAACTGCATTCAAACTTTCCAAGCCATGCGTTCTTCAGTCTGTCATCTCCAAACCGGGATTGGAATTTATTTCCATAAATTCGCCCGTGTAAACGCATAGAGGTGCTCGCATCTGCTCACCTTTTCCATCTGCCTGATATCCCTGACTTGTGTGTCAACGCGTCCTTTTATTTGTCTTGTCCAGCTGTGCCACCCTGCTACACGAGCCCCTTTTAAATCGACTCCCGGATGCTGCGGGAGCTTAGACCCGGTCATGTCCACAGCTCCAGCCACGGCGAAAGTCTTCGCTGTCATCGTCTTGGGCATGTGGCTGGTAATGGCATCATCCTCCTCCACAACTCAGTTTTTTTTCCCTTAACAGCGCAATTTGTTTATATGGTATATTAATAAGTAATAGTTATTTATTTAGACCTTTAATCATCATATGCGCCCCAGTGGCAAGATGTTAGTTTCTTCGCATTATATGGAGGACGTTGTAGGTTCTATCCCGACGCCTGTATATTTGGAGTTTGCCTGTCCCTCCCGGAGGTTGTGTGGATGTTTCTCCGGGTCCTCTGGTTATTCCCTCCACATTTTTTAATCAACGTGCATTTAGAGTATTTGGCTCCTATAAATGTCCACATGATAAACCACTTCATTGAGATATCATTTTTGGCCAGGTCACTTCTGAAAAAGAGCTATATAGTTCAGTGGGCCTTACCTGGTAAAATAAAAAAATTGATTATAGTTCGGTTTAGTTTTATCATGCTTTTGGTGTTTCATAAATAGTTTTTGGGAAAATAAAAGACTAAAAATATACGAGCGCGATAATCATGATATTTTGCAAAAAAACAATATCATTAGCGTGGTTCCTATATAGCAAGGTATATATATAGACATATACTGTATTACCATGTACTTATTTTGTCAGTCCTGTAATAATAATTACTGCCATTTGCCAATCTACTGGAAGAAGGCTTCCCCATGAAAAGGCGTAGATGTATTGACCACCCTATGCCTCTATATAAGGAACGAAACAGTAAGACTTCTCCACAAATTTGGCTGTTGCCTGATGAAGCTAGTTGTAATTTCTGGCAAAACGTCATACTCAGTTTGTAAATGTTGTGGCTTAGCTCTCCAACACACTGGTGTGCTGTACTAGTGACGAATTGGCATGTTCTATTTATGTGACAACTCTTGCTAGTTGGCTGTGTCGGGTGGTGGCGGGTTTTAACGGCACATTTATATATTTACGCGATCTAACCCAAAAACCTCTGTTATGGAATACATAATGGCGCAACCTGTAATGCTTCCTTACACAGGTAACATTAACATTTCTAATAAGTAATCAATTATTCCACTTACAAATCAACACACATTGTGTGGGAGTGAAAAATCTATTTTAATTGATTAAAACAAAAATGTAGGTGCCTTGTTGGTGGTTGTGTCTGCACAGGCACATCTTAAACATAAACGTACTGCATTTGTTCATAGTGTATTTTTTTTCTTCCTGACCTCTATTCTATTTCAGCTCAGGCATTTGTTTACTAATATTTACTGCTGTAATGTTTTAATTCATTTGTCAGTGGTCGCCAACAGTACATTATCATCACCACCACCAACCACATGGCTGCTGAAGCTTTATTTTAATATATCTTCCTGTTATTCCTGTTTGTTTGTTTCTCTTTCAATCAGTGTTCCTTGTGTTATCAAATGCGAATAATGGTAATATATTATAGTTACAAATAAGACTGAAGGCGTGCTGAAAAGTCTAATGAGATGGAAGGTGGCATGTGCCGCAAATATCCCAAGAGGTTCAGCTGGAGATGGTTATGCATGGCTGATGGGCAGGGAAAGAGGAAGCCAATGGATCAGTTGGTGGTATAATGTGATCAAAGGGACAGGACTTTCCATGAGAGACACTGAAGACCGCAGCTAATGGAAAGCATCTGCTGTCATGATCATCGACCCCCAGTTATGATGATGACGTAAGATAGATTAAACCTACCAGGGTAAGAAGCTATTCTGCCAAAGTATTATTTTTTTTGGCAGCAGGAGGATAGTTTGTTGGGTGAAACACATCAATGATTTCTGCTATTGTAGGGATTTCTGGGTGCTCATGTTTTTCTACTGTTAATCAAAGCTCCAACATGCATTATTAATCAGGCACAAGTGCGATCTCTCCTGATATCAGGTTGACTGCTCCCCAATCTCACAGTGGAAACCTGTCAAGACAAAAAGCTACTCTTTGCATGATGGAAACAATTTCTATTTGCAGGGCTGTTTGGCCATTTATTTGCATCAAAAATTGTGGAATAAGGGGTTGTAGCAAAATTATTGACAACCAAAGACTCTTTTAACTATAATATTTTGTCAAATACAATTTAAGTTCACTTGCTTGCTTAGGGCCGTGCAAATCTTTCGGTCGTTTTTTAACCCACTTCCCGTGATCCAATCGAGCTGACATTTTCCACACAGACTCGTTGTGTGTGACAATTAATTTTCGTGAAAATTTTTTTCCATAATTTTACACTTTTTAGGACAAAAAAATTATATTTAATTACCAATTGCTTAATGGTGGCAGGCAATCAGCTGACCCATAGGTGGCAGCCATCTCAAGCCAGAGGACGAGAGGACTCTAGCCACCACGCATATAAAGGATTTATAGTGAAAAACTTTGTTTTTACGGGTTAATTTTTTTATTTACTTTACTGTGACTTGTTGCGTATGTAATGGGTTCCGGAGACACTTGTAGATGTAACTTCTTTATTACAATACAACACTCCAACAGTCCTGATACTCTGTTACAGCCTAGGTACACAGCCTAGCTACACAGCCTAGATACTCTACTCTGGCTACGCTCTGGACTCGCCCTCACAAGGTCGTAGCGTCGGGAGTTCCAGAGTCCCAGCGCTGGCTCTCACAGCATCCCAGGGTCTTCAGATGGCTGGTCGTGGGTCTTGGGTCTTGAGTTACAACTGGGCCCGATCGTCCAGGGAGCTCCGCTTATATGCCCAGTCCCCAACGAGGGGTGGGGCCGTGTGCGCCACCAGACATCCCACAGAGCACACACAGCCCCCCCCGTTGGCGGCGCCCAGAGGCTTAAGCGTCTGGACCCCCTGGGAACCCAGCGCCTGGCGCCCAGGGGATTACGCGTCTGGACCCACCTGGGAACCCAGAGCCTACAGCAGCCCCTCCCTTCTTATGTCACTACATTACCCCCCTCTATGTAGCCTCCAGCCGTCCCGGCTGTCAATAATTAGAAAGTTTAAATTAACGAAAGGGAGAGAGAGAAGAAAAAAAAATACGCGAGCTTCAACAGGAAAAGAAAAGAGAACAAGAAAGCAACCATAAATACCATAACCAACCTGTACAACTCTACACTATATACAAGCATCAATCAACAAAAAGGTGAAGCAATGACACGTGAACAAACGACCCGCGGCCCACCTAGCCCTCCTCGGGATCCGCATAGAAAACGGGGAATTAACAACAACAAATATACAGATTCCGACGCGTTGGATGCACAACCAACACCGGTAATCGAACCGAAATCACACAATCACCGCATGGATGGCAGGGATCCACACCACCCTGCCAGCCTCCCATCCGTCAGGTGGAGAGAAGGCGAAGACCAACATGTCGAGCATCCCTCTACACGCACTTATCCGGACGTCTGTCTACGTCCCGGGTCGAGAAGTCGTACTTCAGGGCCGACCCATGTACTGGGCAAAGAAGTCGCACTTCAGGGCTGCTCCAGTATCTACATTTTAAAAAAATATATATAAAATTTACATGACACAAACAAAATAAATCTGCCTGTTCCTGTCCATAAATGGTGGCCGCACGCATGAACCGCATCTCCAAAAGGCATCCCGTGCTTGCGTCCCAGCAGCCCTCAATGAGGACCACCACCCACATTACATGTCAACCGTTTGCACCCCCCGCCTTTCCAACGTGGCGTCTCCATCCTAAAACCGCGCACGTCGGCCATATCGGGGGGGACTTCAACCCAGTCTCTCTCCAAGACTCGCATCGCAGCATATAGCTGTACCGACCGATCTGAGACCCAACCTCTGCCTGTTCCTGTCCATAAATGGTGGCCGCACGCATGAACCGCATCTCCAAAAGGCATCCCGTGCTTGCGTCCCAGCAGCCCTCAATGAGGACCACCACCCACATTACATGTCAACCGTTTGCACCCCCCGCCTTTCCAACGTGGCGTCTCCATCCTAAAACCGCGCACGTCGGCCATATCGGGGGGGACTTCAACCCAGTCTCTCTCCAAGACTCGCATCGCAGCATATAGCTGTACCGACCGATCTGAGACCCAACCTCTCTCCAAGACTCGCATCGCAGCATATAGCTGTACCGACCGATCTGAGACCCAACCCCACTTCTGACACCAAATGTAATGGGTTCCGGAGACACTTGTAGATGTAACTTCTTTATTACAATACAACACTCCAACAGTCCTGATACTCTGTTACAGCCTAGGTACACAGCCTAGCTACACAGCCTAGATACTCTACTCTGGCTACGCTCTGGACTCGCCCTCACAAGGTCGTAGCGTCGGGAGTTCCAGAGTCCCAGCGCTGGCTCTCACAGCATCCCAGGGTCTTCAGATGGCTGGTCGTGGGTCTTGGGTCTTGAGTTACAACTGGGCCCGATCGTCCAGGGAGCTCCGCTTATATGCCCAGTCCCCAACGAGGGGTGGGGCCGTGTGCGCCACCAGACATCCCACAGAGCACACACAGCCCCCCCCGTTGGCGGCGCCCAGAGGCTTAAGCGTCTGGACCCCCTGGGAACCCAGCGCCTGGCGCCCAGGGGATTACGCGTCTGGACCCACCTGGGAACCCAGAGCCTACAGCAGCCCCTCCCTTCTTATGTCACTACACGTATGTCAGAGAAGCGGCGATGCCGTTTTTGTTGATGAAACCCGATCTAAAAGCAGCTTGGCTCACAGAGTATTTAAAAGTATAATAATAGGTTTTACCCTTTCTGGCAATAAAACAGGTGTTAAGATGTTCAAACATGAAACAGAAACCTTTTGCAAGGAATTATGTCTGCATTAACCACACATACTTGTGGTGAGCGTGCAAACAAAAATATGTTTTGGTAATGTATGCATTGTCTTTGAAACTGATTGGTCTACTCCAGAGACAGCCTTCTTTAGGGCCTAGTCTTAACCAGTATTAGACCAGAGAACGTCAAAAGGCGAAAAGTACAAAGGGTAATTCAAAATAAACTGAACTGTTCGACCAGCCTCCATAGGTGCTCACGAACAGCACTTGGCCCAACAGTCTGTTAAAACTATATGGGAAATCTTTGTCT